AAAGATGGCACAGTGGTCTTCTAAAGCCATCCCTGAAACACGTCAGTGAAGGCCGATATGAACAATGAGTTTTCCCTAACCGGGTAAAAATACTTGCTTTCAAACTATACAATAATAATCGATTTGGACATGTGCTTGGTGCTTTGAGATGATCTAGTAATTGATTTTAAAACAGATGGCAGCTGTCAAATAAGCATTTGTGTTTATTTGATGTTTCTATGAGAACCCTTGGGGTTTCGCTATCTCAGAAGTCTTTGTTTTCTCCTTTCGTAGACCCCCTTTCTTTTCTCTGATCTCTCTTCCTCTTATGTTCTTTTGATGCTTCCTACTGACAAATTCTTTTGAGCTTTCTTTCCTAATGTAAGTCATGGCCTTTATATTAGGCTTTAATTTCATTTTGTTTAAAATTCCTTTTTATTAACAGTTTTAATAAAACAGGAAAATGTCTTCAGCACACCAAATACTTAATGATCTGAGCATCAGCTACAATACATCGCACAAACAAAACCATTGATTATGCTTCCTGGAATTGCTTCCCTTTACCACATCAGTAATAAATAACATAGAAGGGGAAGTTCCCTCTGGCAGACAAAACGTTGCATATTACTTTGTGTAAAAATTAAAATATTCTGAAATTAATGGGTTTATTGACAGAAAACTACGTATATTTGTGTGTATGTGTGTGTGCATTTATCTATATCTACTCAGAGGAGAATCAAACTATTTATTATCTGTCTTTGTCTTCTGTGGGCACAACGTTAATAATATTGTTTTGATTTCCTACTGAAGAAGAAAATGCAATGTCTGGAACAAGAAGAGAATTTTAATTGTGTAGAAGAAATTGATTTATTTAATAGTTAAAACCTCCTAAGTGCCTCTACCCATTACACCCTTATGTTGACCTCCTGAGATGCAGAAAGCCTCTACTTTTCTAGATGCAGTTAAAAAAACCTTGCTGCTCAGTCTCTGAGGACACCTCTTCAGCTGTTATAAATGGAAGTTACTTTTTTGAAGTTAATGACACTGCAGTTGTTAACTACAGCACATCTGTATAACACGAGGGGCTTCACCAACAGTGGACACAGCATTCAGATCTCCAGATCTCTTTTTTAACTGCAGTGTGGGTCCATGAGTCAGTTTTTCTTGGAAGAGAAAAGGTTAGTTTCTTTGCATTCATTGTAATATTTTTCCTGGACCGCCTTATTAGAAGACATTAGCAGTTAAAGACTGAAAAGCTCTTAGGACCAGTCTTTCACTGGCTCACTCACTCCTGTAGAAGGGTTTTATGTGCCACCACCAGTGGGGCTGTGTTGATGTGATTATCTCTGCACGTCCAACGAGGAATGGCAACATAGGCACATGGGCACGGGGCACATCTGGAGAATGGCTGTGGAGTGATGGGATCCTGCCTTGCACATGGCAGAAGCATGTGGGTGGTCAAAGGAAAGTGGCTGATTGGGCTGATGTCTTCAGCTCTTTTCATTGTACATGGGAATTGGGGTATTGATGCTTGAAATGTGTATAGCCTCGGGGGGTAAGATACAAGTCTCCCATTTCATTTCTCTTACAAGTAATGCTGGTATTAACTCAAAGTTTGAAACAAGCAGATGCTTCTTTTCCTCTTATACACATGCTGGGCTAGTTTTGGATAACACACCTGGTAGAAATGTTCATCCAGTCTCTGATCCACTGTGCAGTCCATCCAGGGATTGCCCTTATGGTATCACAATCAAATGCTACATCCAAACCCAGATTTATCACATCTCATTACTTGCCAGCTGAGAACCACAGTAAGGGACTTCTTTCTGGCTCCTGACAGTGAGCAGGAAAGCACCTATCAGGAAAACACATTCTTCTGAAGAGGTGACATTCCTACTGAGGGCAGCCTGATTCACTCTGGATGCTGTTCAGGTCTGGATACCAAAGACTACCACCTACCTAATGAATGCACTGAATGCAGCAATCTTTAATTCAGCTCAGGGAAGATTCCTCTCATCACACCTCTGTTATTGCCTCCAGTTTCTTTTCTCATCTAATGATATTAAAGTCTATAAAATTTATATATACCCAGTTGTCACTATATATAGTCTGACCTAGGACTTCAAATGCTCCTCCTAAAGGTCTGTTAAGTTAGAAGACTCTCTGTTTCACACAGCTTTGAAATGATCATTCGGTTGCGTCTTATACAGCTAGAAGGGGGATTAAAATACACACACTGTTACACTTCTTGAGTGTAAACATTTCACTGGATTACCAGCTGGCTAATAGGTGCCCCCACCAAAGAGTCACTCCTTATAAGCAAGGTCATCCAACTGTTTCAGAGCAGTTCAATATTGAATGTGGTAACATGGAATAAGCATTGACTTGCCTCAGACACTGTGGTTGAACCCATCAAATCTGAGGAAACCCAACAAATCCTTGTTTAGTTAAGGCAACTGCACACTTCATTCTCAGTATTTGTAGGGTTCTCATGCCTCAGTGTGATGGCTGACAAGCAAAGTTGTGGAGAAAGAAGGAGCACAAAGCCACCAGCAGACTGTGAGGAATCTCCGCAGCTCACTCACAGTATCCCTGCATCATGTAGCACCCAGAGATTGCAAGCTCTGAGGAAGAGAGCAAAAGTTTTGATCAGCTATTACCTTATACTCTTAGCTAGGATGTCATGAGTTATATGTGGAGGGTGGCTTTGGTGTTTAAGGAGAACCTGGTTTCTCATATACATGAGCTAGGATCTGAACTAACTTTAGAAAGACACAGGAATATTGAATGCAACTGATTTTCTGAGCATGTGGTAAATGCAAGCACAAGGAATAAAGTTGCCCAAAGAACAAATTGTCTGCAAATTATGTTTTACTTTCAGCTGAAACTTTCTGGTACTAATGCATTTTATATTTCATGAGAATGTTCTCTGGTTTGTTAAAACTAACTGATCTGTCTAATAATGGCAAGGTCCTGGCTTTGTTTCAAGTAAAAGGTTCACACAATTAAATCTCATTAACAGAGGACTGCAAAACCTGCACTAAAACCTTTCTTGGCATATGACCTTCAGCAGAACTGCGTCATTAAGTCTGAGATCCTGGAGAAAATGTTTGCTGAATAAAGTCATTCCTAATTAATTTTAAAATGTCAAGGATTCATCTGCCATCCATTTTTACTCCTTTTCCTTTATGTTCTCAATTATCTCTTTAATGAGCAACCAGCATCTTTTAAATGTACACGCAACAGGTGGGACAATGCAGCAAAGCAAATTTGCCAGACGTGCTTTCCCAAGTAATATTTGCAACTTCCTAGGCATCTTTCTGAAACCTCACTTACATGTTGCCATTAACTAATGATGAATTAATTTTTTATTTGTAGTAAGCGTGACTATTGAGGATGATTTTCCCTTGCACTCTTTCTAATGTTACCTTCAGCTTTATCTCAAGCTATGCGCATGTCTAGCTTAACAAAGGTGTTTATTTGCTCTATGATGAGTAGAATTGTCTGTCTATTCTCCAAGAACCACTCATCCAAGATTTTTTTAAAAGAAATAGAACAGTCTTTGGTGAGTTTCTACTTTTCAGATCAGAGGGACATCCTGGTTGGATTGAGGGGTCATCATAGGGTGGTGTACAAACACGGTGGGTCTGAACTCTGAAAATTCTCCCACATTTTCCAATGACCAGTGATAACAGCAGACGGTAGCGCTGCTTGGACTTGTGCAGCAGGACTTCATGGTGAAGGCTTAGAAACACTCTTCAGCCTCTTTAATTCTTATTCTCACATTAAAGTAATGGGACCTATCTTCCTGCCCATCAATCTGTACAGCATGTGCAAGCCCTTCTGCATGGTTTAAATAGGAATGACTCATATGATATTAAGCCTCTTAATGAAAATGGATTACATTATTGCCTTTCGCAAAATGGGAGGTTTAAAAAGCCAAGTTAGCGTCTTCCAAATGTCAGTAACTGGAGACACTTTGGAGAAAGAGTGAATTTTATAGCTTTTCTGGATATCTATAAACTGAAGTCGTCTTTGCAATGAAGGATATTAAATAATAAGAAAAAGTATTAGAATTAGAAGTTCTTTGAACTTGTGTTTAATGAGAATTAAGTTCTTTCATTCTTCAAAACAGTTTCTTATGATGGCAAACTTGTTTTCTCCTTACTTGGACTGTGATGTGCTTGTATTGGCACCTTTCTGAGTATATTTTCATAGCAAATACGTTATTCAAGTCACCAAAATATCTGTAATCCCAAAATTCAATGGTAAAATCAGAATCAATCTCTGACCCTGGGTACTTATGGAAAATTGCTTTACAAAAGTGATTTAAAAAATGAAATAGGAATAAAAGTCAAGACAGTATCCAAGCCCCAGACTCTAAAACCTGGTATCTTGTAAAGTGTTTCAAAGTTCCAACATTGCATAACTTTTAGAAAATTGATATTTTTGTTTTTTCCCAACTGGCAAGGGAGCTTAGACAGATTTGAATTGTAGCTGAAGCACTTGTGTCTAGGTATAAATGCTGTTTGAATCCATTGATGTGTGCCTAGTATGACTTTGTGAACTCTTTATGGAGGAGAACTAAACCTCAGTCATTGCAGTTCTCTGTTAGCCGTGAGGGATCCTCATTATGTTACCATCGGGCAGGTAGGAACGCAAGCTCTGCCAACACGCGCATGTCTATATGTTCACATACTCATGTACGGGACACATAGTAGGAATACCAGAGCCTTTTATGCTGTCATGAATGTGTGTACTAATGTAAATAATATGATGTTTCTTGAGCAAGGTAATTATGCTTAATAACCTAAATATTCAGAGTAATTGTTATCAATTGTGTTCATTTGTGTATATGGCATAATTTAATGAGTATTCTTAATTGATATTCCTGTGGTGTCCTCCCTGTGCTGTGATTAGACCAGGATTTTCATATCTACGCTGTTTCATTTATTGCTAACTAGTAATTTATGTCTAATAGCCTTTTTTTTTTCTGTTCTCGCTTTTTTTTTTTTAATTAGAGGAGATCTTGAAGACTCATATTGCTCATTGGTGGTCTCCTGATGGCACCAGGTTAGCATATGCAACAATTAATGCCTCCAGAGTCCCCACCATGGAGATCCCAGTGTACACTGGCAGCCTTTACCCTACTGTTAAAACCTATCATTATCCAAAGGTAAGGGAGAATAAAACAAACAGTCCTGTTGTTCTATCAAAAAATAATTATTCTTTTTTGCCAGTAGGCTCAGAGAGGAGACTGTATAATAGTGCGCATTCATAAGCAATGAAAATAAACAGATCTAAGGGAAGATCGGCTGTTCGCCAGTGGATATGGTTTTCATTACTCTTTAGTTGCATTTGTAAAATTGCAATTTTCTGATTCGAGTATTAGTCATTCTCAACGTAATGAAAGTAAAGTTTAAAAATTCTTGCTTTGTACCCACACAAAAGCAGTTGTGCTTCCATGCTAGAACAGAATTGTTGATATCTGAGAGCTTGGAAGCCAGCATTTCTACATTCAGATACATTTTCTTTTATATAGAAGGAAAATGTAGTATTTCGGTTTCCTTAGAATATCCGGGATGGCCTAATGTTGGAGGAGATAGTCTGGTTTTGGAGACATGTTGTGCCTGAGCATTACAAAGAACACAGTAAAAGACAGAAAAGACTTAAAGGCCAACCTCTCCTTGATTGCAGGGACCTGCCCAGCAGTCCTGCAGCGGGCACGCAGCACTGGCGCAGCTCTTTACCAGTATTGTTACACCACGGCAGTTATTGCTGTAATTTTGTACTGTAAGACAGCACAGGAGTGTACCATGCTGCCGTCATTTCTTCTGGGTGTCTTGCTTTATGCACTGATTACCTAAGACCTCACGTGTTGGTCCAAATTGAACCACAATTTAACAGGAGGGATATCGACATATATGCAGGTTTTGTGGAAAGGAACAATGATTCAGCAGGGGATGCCCTTTCCCACGATACAAAATGAATCAGTATTTTACTATGTCTACCATCATCCTATTAAACAACCTTTTATCAAAGGGTACATAAAATAGCAACGTTTCTAGTCGCCATGAAAAGTAGCATTTTTTACCAAGGCTAGAGGTGTCCTAAGTAAAACTACCCCTTTGTTGTGCCTACTGACCTTTCCGCACTTCAGTACCACATCACTACAGTTGCAGTTTCCCTGTGAATGACCGCAGCAGTCCAGTCCATAACCCCATGCAATGGGAATGCATTTTGTAATCCGTGGATATAATAAATCAAAACCATTCTGTGTTGTTAAGATATGGTAATTTATTCTTATTTTAAAATCCAGGCTGGAATGGAAAATCCAACTATTTCTTTGCATGTGATTGGTCTGAATGGACCTACCCACGACCTGGAAATGACTCCCCCAGATGACCAGAGAATGAGGTAGGTACTTCCTCGCCCTGGGATGCTGGACACCAATTCTGTTGGGGTTTCAAATCAGACTGACTTTTTTCAAGATCATTTTACAGTACCTTTCTCTGCCACTATCAAAGAGTTTCACTTTGTGTAAATCTGCTTAAAATTTTTCAACTTATTCTTCTTCTTACATATATTTTATAGATTATTAGTTTTTTACTTGAAATCACTGTGACACAGATCGACTTCAGAGTAAGGTTGTTTTTACAGAACTTGCAGAATATCCCCAAATTCATAAGAACACATTCATTTCATGTGTAGTCACAGGCAATGTTGAAGGGATATTTTCTGCAGCCTGTATGAAAGACCATGAAGCAGAAACAGGGCAGCCCTATAACACAGCAAACACGATCTCACTGCTTCGTGACGTGAACATAGGAATGAAACCAGGCAGACATTCCGCAGATATGTTGCCCAGTCTTCATTACAAATAAAAAGGAAAGCTCCTTGCTGCTTTTAGGGCAAGTGTATTTTAGAAGTTGGCCAATAATTCAGCCAACTACTTAGACACCCATTTCTAATTAAGTAAGGGCTTAAGTCTGCATTTAGCAAGAGTTTAAAAGTTTGGCTTGGACTTCAACCATGGTCAAAGCTTGAGCTGTGTTTATGTTTACGTTGTGTGTGTTTATGTTACATTGTGCTTTATGTTAATGTTTATGTTTACATAGAGCTACTTTTACACTGTTCAGGAGAGAAGCAGCTTTAGATAATTCACGGCACTCCTCCCTGCAAAGCTCGGAGATTCGAATCCAAATCCAGATTTCAGTTACTTTGATTTAAACTTGCAATAGCTTTATAGCAGGCCAAGAGAAATCAGACTCTGCTTCTACATCTAAAGTATCCATAGTGACCCCTCCAAATGTAATGCTGCAGGGTTATCATTCCCAGGCACATCACTTGTTCGAGTAGAAGCATCCAACCAACATGTGTGCTCACCTTTTTTTTACTGATTGCTAAATTAGATTCCTGGATCTGTAGTTCCAGTGCCAATAAAGACAGAGGTACAGCACAGAGTTAATGAAACAGGGCAGCTTGGAGGGCAGTGGAGGGTGCAGAGGTGATCTTCATTGTGCATGATAAATATATAAGGCCTGGGGATAGGCTGCGTAGTCATTTGATGAGAGGATACTAAACCAGTGGAATCATTTATGGTGGGAGTTGCCTTTCTTTGCTAGGAAAGCTAGTGTCAGCCTCAGGACATGTTTTCACTGAATAACTCTAAAATACTCCAGATCCATTTATGCAACTAAAGGTATATGACCTGTGACCAAACCAAATGGGCATAAATGCACTTGTCTTTCAAAAATACAATTTCAGATCTGTATACAGCAGGCAGCAATTCAGGATCACAGCATCCCAATTACAGTATCCCAGTCACAATATCAGAACTGCAACTCCTGGAAAATATCATTTTTCTGTTGCTAGCATACTCTGTAAACAGAGAGACTCGGAAATGTTTTAATTATAGTAATAACTTCACACTGCAAGATCCAAGTGTTGTTAATAAATTTGTTCTATATGGTTATGGGTGGCTGTAATTTATTTGGTTGAAATCAATATTGTAAAATGATGCAAAATATATCATAATTAATTCATCTCTATATATTTCATCAAAACCATGGCAATTGCCATCCCTAGGGCGTGATATAAGTAGTGTTGCTAGAGTAATAGGTGTGCATTTTCATTACGCATATATTTTCTGAAATAAGAGATAACATTTCATTAAAATAGACAAGAGAGATGTACTGTACAGTTAGTTACAGAAGGGAGTTTCAAAGAATCAGGGGCAGCTGGCGATAAGGATCTTCAAGCAGAGCGGTCCTATCTGAAGCATTTCAATGTGCTCAATCTGTTCACGCAGATGATATACGGACAGAGCGGTACTTCTTGGTGTTCTTTTTATCTGGAGCAAAGTGTTTCAGTACAACTAATAAAGCTGAGAATAAAGTGGAGATATGCCAGGGTCTCTTTTCTTTCAGAATTAAAAGAAGTCAGAAATTTTCCACAGAATTGAGATATTTTTAAGTTAAAAAAAAAAAAAAAGCAAAGCTGATGATAGGAAAATATGTTGTGGGGAAAATGTACAATTTTGGTAATTTCTCTGTTTAAAAATCTTTCATTCTGGGCATTTTGGCCACATTTTCTCCAACACTTTGCTTGTCTGTGAGAAAAAGAAAGTGAAGGGGTGGAAAATGCAGGGGAAAAAGAAGTATTGTAACATTCAATGGTTGACAGGCATTTTTTATTTTGATGAAAACCAGTGGATCCCAGGAGTTACATCAGCAGGTGGTGAGAATTAGACCATGATCCAACTTATTCCTCACATCATATTTGCATCCCAGGTGGCAAATTAAAGAAAGATGTTAACTCCCCTGAGTGCAGAAATCGTCACTGGTCCTTGCATAGGTCATGAACAAATAAATAATGGAGAAACTCAGACAGCTTGAGTCTGGATCAGAGGCAGGAGCCGGCTGCGCCCCAGGGACCGAGGGCTGGGTTGCCGCCTGTCACTTGGCCATGTAATATATCGCTGTCTGTTATTTGTGGTGTTTATGGCTTTATTACTGTTGTCATACTTTAAGTATTCATATTGTAGATTCATACCTTGTATTTTAAATTTATAGCTCCAGAAAGCAGCCAAGTAAATTTAGGATATGAATAAGGGTGCTGGACAATAACCAGTCTCAGATGATTGCAAACCCAACCACCAATGTCTTTACTGGGATGGGGAAATAGATTACAAACTCAGCTTAACTGCACCCTTCCTGAAAGGGCTCAAACAAGTTATTCCTTTCCTCTGGGAGGGTGTAACCTGCTCTGATGTGGATGTCTATAAACAAAGTAGTCAGGTACCTGCTGGTCTAGATTTCACTCTATGGGAAGAAATAGGTTCTCCTTGAATCAGCTCCGTATAAAATCTAGGACAGGTCAGGTGAAGAGGGCTTGGGAAATACGCTGACTCCCTGTTTCTCTCCACTGGCTGCTCAACCAGTGCAGCTGCCGGAGCTGCAGATGTTTAAAATTAACTGAGATGAATCACACCTTATTGTCTCATTTTCCTCTGCAAAATGGGAAACATAAAACTTGGTTGTTCTACAGAAGAGATGTGAAGTGAAGTAAATTAAAGACTCCACGCTACTCTGAGACTAGAATAATAACTATTCAAGTATCTGCAGTTGTCTGCTGACTGGGGTATCCATGGGCTGGATGGCTGGGAGAGGCTTCAGAGAGAAATTGAGAATCCATGCCTATCTCTGGGGTGATGGGGAAGGTAATGTTTGACTTAAAATAATAATAAAAAGTTCCTGAGAGAGAACTGTGGCTCCTGTGTCCAAACAGCGAGAGGGATGTGAAAATTGACTATGTGTCTTTCAAACTTTAAATTGGATTTATGGAAAAAATGCTCCAAGCCACAATATGTACTAAATTCACATTCCTTTTCTGGGGAGGCTGAATCTGCTCAGTTAATTTTGGAGAGAAAGAAGAGATGGTTATACAGTTTAATTTATACAGTAAAATTATGATTTTATTTCAGGCACTGAATTTTCAGACTGCTGTTGTCTCACCTGGAAGTATGCTTCTTTCCAGCACAGTGGATGCAATCATTGAAGTCTTTTGGGTTTTTTCCCCAGCCAAATTCAGGCACTAAATATTACTGAAAACTACAAAATCAATTTCTAGATGTTATTTTGCTAGACAAATGAGTCTTTGTTTCTTTTGCCCTTTCACTTCAGTATATGCAGGAGCGCTTGCCAGAACACAAAGTACTCTCCAGTGACACAGCACATTAATTCCAATGAGAGCAACAATTCCTTATACATATTTTATACCAAACAAATGAACTAATACATTTTTTATAGACTGTATGCTGTGAAAAGTCATATTATAATTTAAGGATATGGCCCACATAGCCCAGCAGTATATTACAACATCACCAGCTTTGTCAGCTCAGCCAGAATTTTATCCTACAGATAAAGTGGTGAAGCCCCTGAATTGCTGCAGAGGTGGACATATGTGACTACCACCGCAGACTGGCTCTGAGAAGGTGACCATCGGTGTATTTATTTGTGATCCTGTATTTTCCAGCCCAGCCTAGGTGGTTCCATTGCCCACTATTGCACAGGCCTTTTCCTATGTTATCTAGGGCAAGATATTGATTACAGGACTGTGCAGCCCACACTGGTGATTTACTCCGAGTATTATCACAACCTGAATATGTCCAGCAATAGAGGATGGTACAGGGAGTGTGGGACGGAAGTTTTGCCGATGCAAACTGTCACAACCCTGCTCATGTCTTTATGGCAACCAGCTGCATCTGCTTTGCAGAAACCCTGTGTCTCTCTAAACTCTATCCTTTTTGCTCTTTTCCTTTTAATGCAACACTCATGGATATTTTGGTGTGTAGTAGGGATATTTAGAGGCCATTAACTCTTCATAAGCATGAAGAATCCAACCGTTCGCAGTGATGGGTCTGAGTCAGCCGGTTAGTGTGGTCAGATTGGAAATTGTTTGCAATTTCTTTTCCACCTGTGCGTAAATTTGTAGCTCCAGGCATTTCAGTCCTTCTTGGAAGACTGAATAGCTTGAAAGAGCTTTTGTCTCTTCTTTGAAAATGACTTTCAGAAGTGGCAGATAAAACACCTGCACAGCCCTAAAAATGTCATTTTTAGGTGTTGAAATCCGTACATAAGGAAGCCTAGAGACATCAAGACACAGTGCTCTTAATAACCAGAGATCTCTTCTGGACCGTTTGCCTGTGGCAGCTTCTGACTGCTCTGCCAGGTGGCAATTCATTAGGATGTCAGGATTGTGATTTGGTTTATATATGTCTGTGTTCACAGGGACTACTACATAACCATGGTGAAATGGGCAACCAGCACAAAAGTGGCGGTAAACTGGCTGAACAGGGCCCAAAACGTGTCTATCCTGACACTCTGTGATGCCACTACGGGAGTCTGCACAAAGGTAGGAGAGATGAGCCAAATGGTTGTTTGCCATCAGTTTTCATAACCCACGCAAGGAGAAAGTATTTCAGTTCTCTTACCTGGCAACAAGTCAGCTGGCACACGTTTATTTAGGCAGACACAGAATATAAACAATGTTTGCAATATCTACTTTTTTTTTTTACACCTTCTAAAAAGCCAGGAACAGTATGTCCCTGCACACACTCTGTGTGAGGGGGGGTGTGCGTGTAAGAGAGTGGTTACTTGTCTTGAAATAACTGTATATATACACAAGTGCGCACACATCAATAGTTTGTAACCTGAATATCTTTGCAACATTCTAGTTCAATGGCATTATATATATTTAATGGCATTAAAAATGGCTCATGCTTATCTACCCACATTTCAATTGTAGTTAATTAATCCCTTCTATAGACACACTAATGTAAATGGTGTATTGATATAACCTGTGTAAGTATTACTAGATACCATCTTTTAAACTGGCATAGGTGTTTCCACAGTACAAAATTGTTCTGATATGTCCATCCCTCGAAAAAATGATGCAATACTGTGCATAGAGCACAGAGTAGAGTCTGTTGTTAGCAGCTTTCATTTCATTCATTATTATTTCTTAACAAGCTTTATTTATTTGGGGAATAATATTTCTTGTGGATTTATGTTTTGTCTGTATGAGTAAAATGCTTTCTTAAGTGAGTGCATGCTCATTTGTCAGAGAGGAAAGACAAGGAGAGCAGTGACTGGATTACACTCCTGAAGCTCATATTTAAGCAGTTTCTTTATATTTCTGAACAACTTTTCAGATTCAATCCAACTGCTTTGTGCACTGATAAGCAAAATGTAGTAAGTGCAAACTATGGTATTAATGATCTTCTCGCATTTTAGAAACATGAAGATGAAAGTGAAGGCTGGCTGCACAGACAGGTAATAGTGATCTTTTCTTTGTGGTCTAAGTTTTTGAGAGGGTTTTTGTTTCATTGTTTTTCCCATAAAGAGAAAAACTGATTTCCAGACCTGAGAAAGATACTTGGAAGATGGCTTGATTTGTGTTGTAGAAAAGAGTTTCTCAGTAATAAACAAGTTCTTACTGAAGATACCATCTTCTCTGTGGGTCCCATAGCTCTTAGACTGCAATTTACTTGGATTTAAAAGAAATTAAAAGCTGGTGCTGGTGACAATTCACCCCCCGACAGTATCTGTGTAAGACTCATCAATCTCAGAGGTGGTCCTTCACACCCTGCTTTGAGACTGAAGATCATTTTAAACAGTGTGGTGGTTGTTTTCAGTTCTTCTATAAAGGAAAGAAGTCTGCTGTTGAAAACAGGGGAGCAAAGGTCATTTTATTAAGAGAGCTTATGTCCATTCAGAACCAAAATCATGCAGACAGGACTTTTAAGTCACTTAAGCTACATTTGTCAAATTTTCCTGTGTTACTCTGCAGCTATTTGCAGGTGTAAGAAAAGTGAAAAATGAAATTAAATTGTTGATGGGGCAGTTAAAACCAGGGCTTATGTGGAGCATGGAATGGGGAGGAACTGCCTGATGGAGTTTAAAATCCTGTTTTAACAGACAACTGTGCCATGTAAATCTTCTGAGACTGTAACTTGTGTGTAATACTACTAATTTGTATGGCTATGTGCTCCCATCCCCCAAATGAAATAAAACAAAGATGAAAATAAATGCTGGAAAAAAAAAAACGTAGAAAATAGGACAGAAAATTTAAACCTGCAAGAAGTTTTTATTTATGAGATTTTTTTCTGTTCTTTTTTCTTCGTCTTTTTCCTTGTTGTTGGTGTTGGTTTTGGTTTTTTTTTTTTCGGAAAAGGTGGGTTTTTTCAACATATATCTGTATAAATCCTGTAGACTTCCAGCATGTAAATCTCTGGAAGATCATTTATACTACCTCCCCAGGAGTCAGTTTGTGAAGTGACCTCAGATTTGATTAACCTATTCTGGAGAGAGAAGCTGCTGATACCAATTCAGCCACAACACTGAACTGTTTTTCATGGGATATACGAATGCCAGACAGGGAGTAGCATGTCAAATAAAGATCTTGTACTATATTTTTTCCAAGTTCAGATTTAAACCAATTCACATTTTTGTCACAGCTTGTTCAGAGGATCCAAGAACCTGTAGAAACCACAGTACATCAGTTCGCAGCAAGAACAATGATCTCCTCTGTTCCAGTGACTGTCCTACAGCAATGGGCTATGTCTGATCCAGATAAAAAATGGTTTTACAGAGAAAGTAGATTTTGTGCTCCAAGCATTTCAAATAATCTTTTGCTGGTATACTCAGGTACAGAGTAAAACTGCTGATGAAGTATTCTTTACACTCGTAAGGACAGTGTTGGCTTGAGTTGAAAACAAAAGCTTAAAAGACAAGTCAAGTCAAGACAAAATTAAATTGCCCATATTTTGTATCTTTTTTTTTTAAAAAAGTATTTCACAGGATTCATTTATTTTATAAATCTAAGGGTAGTTTTAATCCTTTGCTATTTACTGGAGCCTCCATTAACGCAGTATAGTAGAACTTAAGTTTTTACACCGCTGTTTTCTTTAGTCATTTACCTACTACATGGATAGTCATTAAAAGATGGTGCTTTGTCCTGAATAACTGTAGTCAATGATCTGCCAGTCTCTAATGGGCCTGCTCCAGGGAAATATAGTTTGTTTTACTGCATCTTCAAACATCATATACTTAGTTTGAGGTTAAAGAAGGATGTTTGTTACAGCCAAATGAGTCAGACATCTCAGTACTAAACTAGGATAACATTTGCTATGGACTTTGGAGACGTTTGGTAGTACTCTTCAGAAGTTTTTGTAAGAGTCTGAAGAGTTATAGAGCTCATTTGCCTGTATTTCTGACAACAAAATTACATTAAATTCTAGTTTTGACTGAATATATGATTACTAGGATAACTGTATTTTACATTTTACTCTATGACTCATAATCTAGATGACTGGAAACTTATGGTCATGGCATGTGTGTCTGACTATGAGAATGATGTGAAAAAGTTAAATCCTAGTATGAGTCCCCTAACCTCTTTAAGGAGGAGAAGAATTGCACATTAGGCAGCTACTGAAGGAGCTCAGGAGTGCAACTCCTGAGTGCAACTGAGGATGAAGACTCCTTGGTTGAGACATTTTAATATAGGTATATGCATATGAGCCAGGTGCCAAATTGCACTCTGTAGACAGCCAGTATGGTGATCAGTGCAGTCACACAGTCAATGGACCTTGAGCATGATTCAGCCCACCCTGAAGAAGACACCACCTGCCTGGTTGGCCAACTTGTTCTGTATGCTCCATTGACCAGACCTCCTTTTGAGAAGTACCCCAATTTTAAATCAATAGGACCGAAGAATCTAACTGCTTGCCTCATTCTTTAAAATACTCCTTGAAAGTAGTCCATACATCTGGTTTGAAAAGTATACAGGAGCTTTACCTTTTTTTTGAGAATTTAAGTGCATCTGATTTTCCTGGAATAGGGGCAAACTTCGTAGTAGGAAGCAGGAGACAAGGAGAGAAAAACATCAGCATCAGAAGATACTCACCAGGGACATGGGGGAGTCTCCAAGGATAATAGGGTCAACTTTTTTCAGCTGTCTGAAAACTGAATGTTCTGAGGTAGAGCATAGGACCCATGAATTTGAATTTTTTTGTTGTTGTAGTAGTAGTTTGGTAACTCAGTGACATTTAATAGTCTGTGTATGGGAGGCCATAGTAAATGATCTCCCTTTGACTTCTGGGCTTAAGTTCATGAATGAATTTTATTCAAGTCCAAAATCTTTGGAAAGCCTTTCTCCAACATGGGCAAAGAGAAGTACTGCTGTCACTGTGTAGCTGAAAAATAGGATAAACCACCCAAAGTATAATGAGAAATATACAGTATTTACACAGGTTTTGCTAGAAAGTATCTGTCACTCCATGTAGGATGATATGGCCAGTGTTTTCAAACCTTTTGCACAAATAAGAAGAGACACATGTTCATCAAATCTGCCTAGGGACTTTGGAAGTTTTTACTGCTTTTATTTGTATACTTGCTTGTGCACTTCTGAGCATAAAAGCCAGCCTGAAATTTACTCATACTTTTGCTTAAATATACGAATTCTTTGAAACAGTAATTATAGCTGTAAACAATTTTGTTTCAATTTTTGTCATTTTCCAATAGTACCAGTGGTGGTCATATACAGACAATGAATCAGCAAGGGAGAAATAAGAAAATTTCTGAGCACCTGCTGAAGATAAACTTTACTGGCGTTTTAATTGATTTGTTTATTTAATTGTGAACGTAGCCTGAACAAACTTAATTATAAACCAGGGTGCAATTCCAATGCCACCAAAGGCTGTAGGTTTTGACATTGATGTTGGCAGGGCTAGGAGATTACTTCAAAATTGTTTAGAGACATATAACCTCCAAAACTGCCTGCGTGGGCTGGCTGGCCTTCTCTGGTAACAGTTTCTTCGGGTTGCATTTTTCTTTCCAATCCTCCTATTTCCCTTGTCTTTCAGATCATGTGAGTCGGAAACTAAAGACTTTTGCTCTGTCAGAAGATTGAGATGTTGAAAATCTCATACCATTTTTCTTTTACAACTCCTTTGCTTTAATCCTAACAGCATGATAACCCAGTAATGATTCTTACGCATAGTTAATAGGTGATATGAAATGAGATTTTTATAAGAAAAACAAAGTTCAGAGAACATTACAAACAAGACTGACTTTTTCACCCTGTAAAGCCCTTTTCTCATATAATAACCCCATAACTGACCTAATGTTGCCCTAAAGACAAAGGATGCAGCAGAAATAGGACCCAGACCCCCATAATTCAAACACCCAAATTCATCTGCCAGAGCTAACAAAGCAGTTTCTGGCTACAAACAGTGTCTTTAGCCCTTAAATGAAGAGTCCTGATTTCATCCAGTGAAGGGAATTGATACCCCGAGGTATGGGCTCCTCGCTCTCCCTTTGATGAGCCTGTGTTTTGGTGCCCTTGCCCTGGCTTCAGAGATGGCCATTGGTGTGGTGCACCCAACCATAGATGAGCATGGGGACAGGGATGGAGGATGGACCTCAGCATTTCCCTAGGGGCCAATTGTGGCAGGGGTTGGAAACAGATCTTCCCCCTGTGCCCAAAAGAGGAGGTGACTTCATTGCTGCAGTAAAGCCGATGTGCATTTTTAACACTTTGTTGGTTTTCAATGAAGTGCTTACCAAAATACAAAGTATTAAAATGATTCATGTCACATCTATCTGTTTATGAGAGCTATGGTGCTGTGACACTTAAAGTATTGGGACATTTCCCTGAATGAATAAATACCTACAGAGCAAAATCATTAATTCTGGGATCTGGGCACAAGTGGATCAGACAGAGAGGGCAGGAGATTGTGCTGAGGAAGAGAAAATACATCAGAGGATCAATTGGAAAGGACTGAGTTATTCAGATTAATTGGTTTCCTTTTTAAAACTTGAGGATGAACAAGAAAAACATAATTCTCATGGAAGTATAATTCTCAGTCAGTAATAAAATCAAATTTCAAAGAATCTGCTTTCCCACTGATTTCTCTGTGGAAATACATGGAGTCCAGCCAAAAGCGTGTGAAGCACTGTACTCCAGAAGAGCAGGAGGCAGGGAGTGTGTTGAACAATGAGAGTAAAGACAGACCAGTTTGGAGCTGCAGCATGTGGTGCTGCAATGTCATGAGTGTTTGACCCATGTTAACGTGTGGGTGGTTTTGGTGGTGCCGTACTTGTGGGTCGACGTGGCTTTCACACACTCTGACTCACCATGAAGTGAGTAACATCACTTTCAAATGTTTGTCCCAGGTCACATTTGATCGTGCAGATCCTCAAGGTCAGAGACACTTGTGCACTCCCCACCATCCTGCATGCGCCTTGCCTTTCCTTCTTTCACCAGAGCAATCTTCCTCGGGTGGCTGCAGATCCAGTGATGCTCAATGATCTCTCTCGAGACACAACTGAATACACTCTATCTTTTTTTTTTTTTTTTAATTGTTATTCCTTACTCCAGGACTTCATGCTCCTCTCTAATACTTACAGAAGCTCAGACTGCATTTAGCATTGTCCCCTCATTCATCCTGATTCTGCCAAACTTGGGATAAGCCTCTGAGGCACTCCTTCGTTTCTTCTTCTCCTGACCATTTGCAGATACACTGACCTGTGTTGTGCAACTCTGAACTCCAGCACTTATCCCTTCAGGAGCCACAGTGCCCTCCAGCAGCCTCCCATGACCTTATCTCTTCCACCAAAGCTGAAGTCTTTGGTGGTATCATTTTGATACACAGCGATAAACAGGTTGCTGGAAGCGGATTTGCTGCCTCTTTCTCTTACTGATAGTGATGTAGGTTGATTAGTCCCACAGATTCCTTCTCCAGCCACAGGGTCATGCTTTGTTTTGTGATTATTCCTTCAACTCTGAGGATGACTGGGTAGTCCTCAGCTCCAACCACCTATTTTCTTCTTCCTCCACCCAGGGGACAATTGCCCGTCACAGGTGAGCAGCTCTGGGTAGATCTGCTTTCTGAACCAGGCCACTGTCTGTTCACACAGGTCCTGGAAAGGCAAATGGGGTCAGGGATGCACACTTACTTAGTCAGATTTAAGCTTTAATTTAAGCTGCTGTGGAATCATACAAGAGTTACCTTATTTTTTTATTTCCCCTTACACCTGAGTCTGAGAGCACTGAGTTATTGCTACGTGTAGCTGACGTGAGGACAGCTTTGTCCTTTGTCTGCACAAAGCAGAGGATTTCTGGAAACTGGGCTTGAGTGTTTGGGTAGAATTCATTTGTCTAAATACAGAGATCTAGCTGAGCAAAAAGTCAAGAAGAGCTGTAAGGACTTAAGAAGTGCCCTACCAAGTCTCACCACTGCTTCCTCTGCTCCATCATTCTGTCTTTAGCTGACACAGCAGCTGACGGTACTTAAGGACAGTGTGTGAACTGGCTGCTTTCTGCAGCCCAGTCATCTCATATTTCACTACCATCTACAATAAAAAGATTACAGACATTTGAGACTATATCCATATCTATTCCCTTTAGGATCTGTTAAGGAATCATGAGTTTGTTCAATCCCTTTTTGCACGTTCTGATACAGCTGCTTCCATAAGCCTCCTATGGCAAAACTTCCAAAAATTCCCTACCTGCTGCATAGGAAAAGTATTTTCTTTTACCAGCATTAAGCTGATCTCTTATTATTTTCAAGGAGGGCTCTTCCATTCTACTGTTGTGGGATTCAGTCAATAGTAGTCAACCAAAGGCTCGAACTGTTTGTATCACAAGCAGAATATTTTAATTACGTGCCCAGTCTAGCTCCCTACAGTATAAAGTCCGGTTCCAAAAACCTTTCAGTCTGATGTCCTCCCCATTCGCCATCCAGGATAAGTCACCACCTCTGTCAAGATCCTAAACAAAGTCCTGGTTGTATTAATGCGTTGTCTTTCCAGCAACAGGAACATGCAAACAAGGCTGTCTCATAACATCAGCCGAGTGCTAAAGCCTCGCATCTGTCATCCGTGCCGTGCACCTCCTTCCCCTGTAACTCTGAATGAACCTCACACTGATCTGCACAATGCCTACTTTTGCTGGCAGAGATGTATTGCTGGAATATATAATGCAGCAGGCACAGATATAGAAATGTAGGGTGAACTCATTGCTCTTTGCCTCAGTAAAGGAAAACCTGTCGAGCAGAACATTTGCCCAAGTTATCACAGTTGTTTTTCAATGAGGTTTCTCCTGTCATAAAAGACATTTGAAAATAATATGGAGTTTTGTGTTTCAGGTTCCAGAACAATGTCAGAAACAAATGAGCCCATTATTTCATAGAGGGGCAACAAGCCGTAAATGGACATATTTTAAAATACACTTAAAACCTAAGCAGGGGAAAATAAAAGGAAAAACAAACAGTTTGAACACCTAATACAGTGTTGATAAATCTGATAAATAGCAGGAAATAATTAATCAGTGAACAACTGGGAGCAAAGGAACATACAGTAAGAATAATGTGTTAGCTTATGAGAAATAAAAATGTTTATTTCTTTGCTGTAGGTGTTTGCATTAGCCATAAGTCTCCCTGTACAATGAAATTCTTGGTGGTTCAGTGTGGCATCTTGACACGTGCCAAGCAGGAAGCCAGGGTGTTTAATTAACACTGAACCAAAGGAGGACCCAGAAGAGGCTGAGAAACAGTTTCCCTGTTGACTGCCCTTGAAGAAGAAGGATCCGCAAGGCTGGGCCAGGGAAGGAGGGATCAGCCAGTCCTCAGAAAAGCCTGATATCACAGGAGAGGTTCAGCAGAGGTTCAGTTCTTGTTTGAGTCCCAGCTATTCAAGATTCAGAGTAGAGGAGCTTCTTCTAGCCAGTTCCCTTGGTACAGTGCTACTGTGTCACACCATATGGACCATCCTTCTGCTTTCCCTTGTAATCTGCTGTTCAACCATCTCCTGCAGTGGAGACTTCCCATGTGCCTCAGGGTTCCTGTACAAAAAGAAGACAAAGACCCTTCCAGGAAATTCTTGCTTGCCATATGTGGTGTTTGATTTCCTTCTGCTGAGTCTCTTCTATCTCTGGTTGAAAGTTCTAGTCACCCAATAAAAGTCAATCATCACATTCACCTGGGAACTTTGTGTCAAAGAGTTTTGCAAGATATCCCTTCCTTCGTAAATAATTCAGTGAAATAAACATTTGTAAGAGAGTAGAAAAAGAGGGCAGTTAGATGCTGTTAGTTGTGTTTCCTCAAGGACAGGAGCAGATCAGTTCTTCCAGCAGAGTAAACAGGGTTTGTCATACCCGTGCCAGCGAGGTTCAAACCATTTCTAAAGGCTTTATTCCAACTGCCCTGAGCACTCAGTTGTATATGTGTACATTTTGCTTTGCAAATGGGAATTGACTTTATAGCCAGGGAACTCTCCCTGCTGCCTGTCCCCCTGCCTTCCCACAGCTGAAAGGGTCTGCTTTCCCAGGAGCAAGCAATAATCTTCGAAACTTTCTCCAGTTTTCAGTGAGCTTTTTATTTGCCTCGGGTTGCTGTTAAAGAGCACTCTCTATTTCACTGTGAATTAATTTCACAGGTTTTTGCAGTGCAGAGCAATTTTATATACAACAAGTTAATGGTAATACAACCCTTAAATTTGCCACTTACAGAATGAAGAGCCAATTTTTTCCAAGGACGGTCGGAAGTTTTTCTTTGTCCGAGCCATTCCCCAGGGAGGACGTGGGAAGTTCTACCACATCGCCATGTCATCATCACAGGTGACTCATTCGCTGCTGTTGCTTTGGGTCTCCCCTGAAGCAGAAAGCAATAAAAAAATAGTATCTGTGCTTGGACCAGCAAGAGTGGAAGGTGCAAATGTAGAATGTGGGTCTAGTGCATAAAAGAAAACCTTCAGTGATGCTTTATTGTGCATAAGATAAAGTGAATTTCCAAATGAGATACTTAGAAAAAGGTCAACCAACTGTCTCTTTCTAAACAATATCATTGCTTTGTTTTGGGTTTTCAATGCCTTCTTATTTGTACATAAATAAGTAAATCCCTGCACTGCCATAAAGGATTAATCAGAAGCTCGCGGGCACACTGGATTAGAGGAAGGGGTTTGAAGCTGTTCTGTGCTGAATTCATCCCATTATCTTCAGTGGAGTTGTGGTTAAGATGATTCTGACTCTCTCTTATTTCTATATTCACAGAAATAGCAGGGGGAGGGGTGGAAATTGCAGATGCATGGTTTATTTTTAATAGGCAATGGAGTCAAAACAGCTCCATTTTTCAGAAGAGAAGCTTTGCTCAGATATCTTCTTTTAAGAATAAAGAAATCTAAATCTCTTTTTTTTCTGGCAGCCCAATAGTAGCAGCGACAACTTACAGTCTATTACATCTGGCGATTGGGATGTGACAAAGATATTGGCATATGATGAAAAGAGGCATAAAATGTAAGTAAAATTTGGTCTGACAAATCAGTCTTCCTTTGTTTAGCCCTGGACTGTAGGCTTACTTACAATGGTGGTGTGTATGCATCTGAAATGTATGAGCCTAAGAAGATGGAGGTAAGAGAGCAGGAGAAGCTGTCTCCCTTTTGGCTTAACCTCTCACACCGTTACGTATATCTTGCCTTATTTTTTTTTCCTGTAGAGTTCAAACCTCACTTTCTATGACTATTAAATACTTTTGTGCAGAGGAGTGATTTCTCCTTCTCCAACTTCTGATATTAACCTCTGGAGCAAAGAAGTCTATTTTGATTGACCACCTAGATAGTCAGTTTTAGAAAGAATCCTTTATTGACCTGCAAAAATACCAATGCATTAGAAAAAAAAGTATTTAGTTAGAATACCAAAAAAGCACTCCTTCTTCACACTTGTCTTTTATGTTTCTAAAATGACTTCTGTAAATGTCTACTTTTAAAAATATGTTTCAAGAAATTACATAAGAAAATATTTGGAAGGCTTTCTGGAATCAAATACCATATAGATTCCTTTCCAGGCAAAGATTCAGGTGGACACAAGGCTGTCACCTCTCAGTTTCTTAAAGTCACTGAACAACTGAGTGAAAAGTGTCTGGAATAAGATAAACTTTGAATGATCATTAAGACCACGATGCTCCTTCAAGGTTTTGAATGTCCTTAATTACCAATAGCTTCAGTACAATATAAAGGTCTTTAGCACTGGGCAGAGCTAAGTAGCAAACTATCACCAAAGTCTTATTTGCATTTTAACTGACCAATCAAGTAGAAAATACCACATACAATTTGTGCAATCAAGATGTACATCTAGGCAAGTGCAGCTTATTGGAAGCAAATCAGCAGGACTGAATATCCTGCCTGACATGTTATTCACCCCAGGGACGCTACATTTGCTCCTGAGATCTGTTATTATTCGCATGAAATAACATCTGGGGGATCAATCTGGACCCTGCATGTTGGATTCAGGTTGGCCATCTCCAGCAGCACCTCTCTGTTACCTTCAGAAGGTGTCACCACACAACAGGACTTTTGCTGTTTACCCAGAAAAGGAGTTCACCAGAGTCTCGGGACAAAGCAAGGCCAATGAAGTATTCTTCAACTTCATACTCTGTCTCCCCAGAAAGTCCAACTCCCTTTTTCAAAGAAGACATTTCAGTGGGTTTCATGTCAGAACCTGGTTAGCTCTCTATCTGGGCAAAGAATAAAAAGTAGTCAGAGAAGTGAAAACTGGTTCCAGAGAAGAAAGAAGGGTGTTTAAAGGAAATTCTGAGCCATAAATCTTAAGGTAAAAATGTGAAGGTCTTTCACTTAATCACTTGATCCTTTTTGATCTGCTGACATGACCAGTGTAGGACCCAAATATTTCCATGCTTGTTTCAACTGCAGTGCAGGCTATGAGGTACTTGCTTGAGCCTCTGCAGGATGTGTCCCTCTCTATATTTTTCTAATTCAGTTTGAACTTTCCTTGCCTTTACAAGCTCAGGAAAATGGCGATGTGAATGAAGATGATTGTTGTGTGAGATATTTGTAAACACCCTTCGAATGATACAATTGCCTTTGATTATTTTTTTCCCCAGTTATTTCCACAGCACAGAAGATTTGCCAAGGAGGCGACATTTATACAGGTATGTGTTTTACTAACTTCACATATAGAATTTCCCTTTTTTTCAGTCTTACATGAGTCATTACATAAGTGATTGAAATAGAAACAGTTTCTTATGTGTTTGTCTTTAGTGACATTGCAAGATCTTGCAATGTGTCACTGAAATAGGACAACATAACAATAGTGAACAAAATGCCTGACTTTTGGAAATGTTTTACATTTAGCGATTTTCTCATTTTACTGCAAATTTTAAATTGGTCTCAAGTTTGATAAACTGTCACAAAACTTTCCAACAGAACTGTTTAACACTTGAAAGAATTCAGAATTACATAAACTAATGGTATAAGCTGTTTTTGTACTCCCAGATAGCAGTTTTCATGGAAATTTGATAGCACCTCACCTCTTCACAAAATTGAAAAGAAATAACAATATGTTATGTTTGCAAATGTTTTTCTGCAATTCCAGATGACTTTAGTATCCTCCCTAACTGTGTGATGAGTAAAAGGATGGTTTACAGTAAGCTACTGGTAAGGTAGCTATTTAAAAATATTGTGGGAACAGATTACAAAGGAGAGGAAACCCGAACTTTTAAATAATCATTGTGGAATCACTATTCCATTTTTCCTATTTTCCTTCTCAATCACCCTGCTGTCATCTCAGCATCTCTAACAAAGGGCAGAGTTGGTGATAGCATCAGTTGATAAGGGACAGTCAGTACCTTTTCCTTCTCTAACAGGACGTCATACCTTTTTTGCTCAGTGGGAAGGAAACTAGAGCAAACTGAATTAGCTGTAATTGAATCATTTTTTCCTTTCGAGACCTCTATGCCTGTTCACTGCACTCCACAGTTTTTTAAGAGTCGCTCAGCTCAGTGTTTATTTTCTTGAAGAAAAAAAAATCAAAATTATATTGACCATTCCTTTCTAATGAAATGGGAAGAAAATCTCATTTTAAAAGCCTAGTCCAGGCACAGCTGCTCAAGAGCTTGCTGGCATGAGTCAAAGTGCTTCCCACCTCTCGCTCGTCTTGGCATGCTGCTCGCCCTGGTGCCTCATTAACCTCACCTTCCCACATAGGCAACAGAGACAGAGATGCCCAAAATGTCAATGTCCTTGACCTTCCTTTGATTACACAGTGATCTTGGCCTCACTTCAGGTATATGATTTCCTGTACTGGGTAGTTTGACTGTCTCTAATCCCAGCCCAAGGGTGTCAGCTCAGAAGCAACCTTGGCATATGTTCATTGACAGAGCTCCACTGGAGCTCTGACAGCTTATAGCAGATGAAGATCTGTTTGGGTTTTTTTTCCTTTTTGTGTCTGATTTAGTAGTTTTAAACATAATTTAAGTCAGAGACATGATCTGAGCCTAAACAAGAGCCCAAGAGCTACTTAGTTCAATCTCTGTGGCCCTAAACAGGTTGCTCAGCCTCATCTCTTTCATTACCTTGAAAAGGTAGCAAAAAACACTCATCTACTTTAGAGTAATACTGGAAAGATCTATTAGTTAATATTCTCAAAGCATTTTGAAATTTCAAAATGCTATATCAATGCAAAATGTTATTTATTAGTATTTGCTAATAATCTGTAATTCATTCTTCAACATATGAAGACTGTGCGTATGGACAGGCCACGTTACCTTCTTCAAAAAACAGATCCCTAAATATTATCTTGCCTTTCTATCTACATGTTATAAGTGCAACTATTTAAACCCCCCAAAAGAACTTTGGACTCTGAGACAGCTGCTAGCAAATCAGATCAGCGAGGCAAACTTAAAGAAAGCAATTCTAGCTCTTTATTGTCTGTTATAATATAAGTAGGTGTAGAAATACTGCTGTACTGTTTCATGCCTTCATTCACCAAATTATGACTTCCTCTTTTAGAATTGCAACCATCATTTTCTTTTAAAAACTATACCTGCATTCATAACCACCTGACCTTGCAAAAAAACATACATCAGTATCCTTTCATATATTCTCCATTCAGGCAAAAAAAGCATCATTACTGCTATTTAAACTCAACCAAATGGAAGTGCTTTGTCTCTTACTAATGTTGGACACATTATATTTATGTTCTTGTTCTACAGTACAGTAGGTTCAAGTAATGTTGCTTCCAGATAACATTTGCTCAGTGACCTTCATGGACTTGTATTAACTTTTTCAGCGCAAGCACAAATGGAAACTTCAACAGGCGGTGTCTGTCTTGTGATCTGATTGAAAACTGTACTTATTTCAGTGCATCCTTCAGTCACAATCTGGAGTACTTCTTACTGACATGTGAAGGTATGTTGGGTTTTGTTATTGCAGTTGTTGTGCCTAAGGATAGGATTTAGAGCCAGCATTGATATATTTAGATATCCTGTGTACTTGTGGGCAGCTTTGAAAGACTGGCCATAAATATCTGGGTCACTTTGCTTTTAAAGATTTACTCTCAATTTTTTTTCTTTTGTGTATTTTTATTTTGAACTAGAAAGCAGATGTGTACAACCCTTTTCTGTGTGTATGTGACTATTGAAGTTAGAGGTACATTCCTCTAGCCGGTCCAAGCATCCTTAGGTTAAAGTAACAGCATTTTTCTGTGTGTATCTGACTATTGAACATAGAGGTACATTCCTCTAGCCACTCCAAGCATCCTTAGGTTAAAGTAACAGCAAAATCTACAGGACAGAAAACAGCAGAAAGTTTCTGAGAGATAAACCAGCCAAGTGGGATTAACTGTGGGTGACTGGGACAGTTCCAAATGCATCAACTCGTACCACTACTGTGAACGGGGGGATTCAAAGTAAGTAAGTTACAATGAAAAGCCAGTTTGCCAAGAAAAACCACTTCACAGAAAGCTACCTAATGGTCAGTGTGAGTACAGAGTATCCAGTGTTTCACTGCTTGTTTGGCAGAAGTTTACCTTAACTTGGAGTAATCTGCAGGTCCTACAGAGGTTTCCTGTGTTGAAAATGCCTTACAATATCCAAAAGGCTAAGGGTAGAGGACATTTCAGGTGAAGAGTCATAGAAGTCAATTTTCTCCAGCTCTGTTAAGCATCAATGCAGAACTCCATAGCATTTAATCCTATGTAATTTAATTCTGCTTAATTATCCTACATTTCGCATGCAATGCATGCATGCCAGTCGTCCGCTGCTATGACTGAAGTTGCTCAAACGTATTGCAAAGCAGCAAGTCAACAAGAAATACCTTCTTTTCAACAGCTCAGGAGAAAACAAACGTGTGTAACGTAAAGAAAAATGTATGCTGTCATATAGCAGCTAAGTACTCTCTTTGCTGAACATCAGCAGTCTGTTTGGCAGTGCATGGACTACCCCTTCTCTGACTGGCAAGTATTCACTGGTGCCAGTCACTGTTTGTGGTGAACACCAAGGATAAAGAAGTATTTGAAATGGCAAAATAGGAAATAACCAGGATAATCAAGATAAAGCGGAGAAGTAGGATGGTTAACATAACACCAAGGAAAACATCTGGACATGGACATTAGTAAAAACATGTTCTGTCCCAAGAAGTACTTTAGGGGCATTTATAGGTATTCTAAAAAATACCTGGCAATAGAGTACAGAGGAGTAGCATTAACAGTACAATGGACTAATTAACTTAACGGACTACTTGTAAATCTCTGAATCTATAGTTATGGGAGACATATGCAGAGAAGTGTCATTTTGCAATAAACATTCAGTTCTGTAGTAAATCTTGTTATGTTTATGAAGTTTGTCTCTTTAGAAGAAAAAGCCTGTATATTTTTCTTTTTGTTTTCATTTCAAGAAAAGCTGTCTAAGTAACTACTGGAGACAATGTCCATTTCCTTTGCACCAAGATAATTGCTTTACCATATTTAGAAACATTTATGAATAACAAGATTAAGGTTTCTAAAGGGTCTTATCAATAGTTATGAGGTGATATGTTTGGATTACATTGTATCTCATTCAAAAAAACCTACAGTGATACCTGAAGAGATTAATGAGTCTTATTAGTGTGTACATTAATCCAAGTACACAAGATAATGATTTTGCATAACAAACTGCAGACCAGATTCTCAGCTGCTGTAAACAATACCTCCATTATAAGTTCATTAGAGTTAGATCTGTTTACATCTGCCGAATATATCTTTGAATTTTCATTATACAGGACTAAATTCTCAAAATGTAATCTCAGTGTAGCACAAATACAGCACATCTTGGACTGTGGAGCTAATGTCAATGTCTCCATTCAGATACTTTTGCAAAATATGTATACATGAGAAAATACAGGGATCTTGGTAGGATTTCCATTTTTAATTATTTTATAAAAATATCGGTCCATTACATTTGGTGGAGTTATTCCTTATTTACATAACTGAAAGTGAGAAGTCTTTCAATTTCTTTGCTTTCAAGCAGTTTACAGGAACAACATTTCTTTTTAGCACTTTTCACATAGGATCCATCTATCTTCAGAGATCTGCTATGGGTATATTACAGCAGAGACAACTCCCTTTGCTTCCTATTACAGCTGATGTGGGTCAGGTCAGTAGAAACATCTGTTCTGGCTGAAATGCAGACTTCTGGATGAACGTAATCATCCTGTCAGACTTTGGTCATACAAGTAGGGTAGAACTGTTGTGGTTTCATGAGGAACCACTTGGATCCATTAATAGACTTCCTTTTCCACAGATCCTCAAGCTACTTAGCTAAAGCTTGGCCTTGCCTCACTTTCTCAGGGTATTATTTTATTGCTCATAAGCAGTCATTCTCTAGTATCTTTTTGATTAGCAAGAAATCCTATTTATTCATGTACATATATAACACATATAACAGAGGTGGAAAAGCTACTTGAATGAGGATATATCAAGGAGCCCTGCTTATCCTGTACTTGATCAAGCAGGCAGAGCAGCAGCAGCCCACCAGAGTGGACAAGTGTTTGTCCTACAATGTCTGCTACCCAAGGACTTCTGCCAGGAGTTCCCACCTCTCCCCAAAAAAATCACAATTAGAGTCAATGTTAATGACCGGACAGCAGCAGACAGTACCTGTTGCTGTTTGGGCCTTTCTTCTCCATCTACATTGTATGAAAGCACCCAGAACTCAGTTCTTGCGTTATACTCTGTGACTGCCTACAAAAGTGTGTGTTTGTAGCAGTAATTGGTGGTTGACTTTATGTCAGACCCATACGTATCTTCAAAGTTAGCTAAACATAAATGATTATGTTTAATAATGTGATAAATGTAATCAAGCCTTTGACAATTTTAAAAATTGTATTTTCTCAGCAGTCTAAAGGGCAAATGCACGGGCAAATTATGTAGGGCTTGAAAACCATTTCTGTACTGAAATTAGAGACTAACCTCCACCATACCTCAGTTTCACTCTATCCCTTTTATTACACAGTCACAGAATCACAGAATCATCAGGGTTGGAAGGGACCTCTGGAGATCATCTAGTCCAACCCCCCTGCCAAAGCAGGGTCACCCACAGCAAGTTGCACTGTAACACATCCAGGCAGGTTTTGAGTATCTCCAGAGAAGGAGACTCCACAGCCTCTCTGAGCAGCCTGTTCCAGTGCTCTGCCACCTTCAAAGTACACAAGTTCTTCCTCATGTTCAGATGGAACTTCCCGAGTTTCAGTTCATGCCCATTGCCCCTTAACCTGTCGCCCAGCACCACTGAAAAGAGTCTGGCCCCATCCTTTTGACACCCACCCTTAAGGTATTTGTAAGTATTGATTGGATCTCCCCTCAGTCTTCCCTTCTCCAGGCTGAACAAACCCAGTTCCCTCAGCCTTTCCTTGCAAGGGAGATGCTCCAGTCCCCTCATCATCTTCGTTGCCCTCCGCTGGACTCTTTCCAGTAGTTCCTCATCTTTTTTGAACTGGGGAGCCCAGAACTGGGCACAGTTCTGCAGATGTGGCCTCACCAGGGCAGAGTCGAGGGGGAGGAGAACATCCCTTGACATGTTGGCCACACTCTTCCTCATGCACCCCAAGATACCATTGGCCTTGTTGGCTACGAGGGCACATTGCTGGCTTGTGGTCAA